AGCTCCTTGCTCCCAGTTCTTAAAGCGGTCCTTGACACATTGCCCTGCTTTTGAGATGCGTTCGCTATCACTAGATATACCCAGGTAGTAAAGGACGAAGATTACAGCACAAATCACTCCAAGCACTTTCCCGTTTTGTATGATTACAAAGTCGGTGTAATTCTTCATATTCAATTCCTTGCACAAGTCGAACTAATTTGCACCACCACAACGAGACATTCATCTGAAAATCGACACTGCGGTATAAAAGAAAACGGACAGTTCAAAACTCCAGTTACGCAAGTTAACTGAGGGAAACTGATTGAACGAACTACTGGACGCAATACTCTCAGGCGTGCAATAGGTATAACTGACACAACGAGCTAACGAGGCCGGCACAGACAAACAAACCTTAAAATTGCGAAACCATGCGACACTTCCTCGAATTTCACCAGCACAGCTTTCAGATATGTCATACGGTGGTGCTAATGCCGTTTGGCCGCCCGCAACTCCTGCACCGGGCGGAAAATAAGTTGTGGAGGACGTGATCACGTACCATACCTTCCATCTCACGCGCAATACTTGAAATTTCGCTCAGTGGTGCCCGGAGATGTAGGAGATAGATGCTACTTTCCTGTTTGAATTCTTTTCATTGGGGTGCTCTCCTCAGTGGTCATTTTGTTTTCTTTTTTCTTCTCTTCCTTTCTTTTCTTTGTTTTGTATTTTTTATTTTTATTTTCTAAAACCGCTTTTCTGCGAATTGCGCGGGATTTGCAGAAATGCGGTTTTCAAGTCGATACGTATATCTTTCCTTTTTGCAATTTCATATTTCATCACTTCTTCAACGTGTCATGTATGAACGCGGGCCTCAGGCCGCGTTCATAGCTTGCGACCATGAAGAAAGTGAAGAAGTGCCGAAAGTGCGGAATCTGCAGAAATGCCGAATGTGAAGAAAAGCAATAGATATGTATCGATTTGACTATCCGCACCTTCCCCACTTTCCGTACTTTCTTCAAATCGATACGTATCTAATGCTTTTCTTCACTTTCAGCAGATTCCGCACTTTCCGCGAAGCCTGTGTGAGTTGTTTGGGGAAGGGAGATATACAGGGCGAAACAGCTATTTTTCTCTTTTGAAACTTCTCCCAAGCACTTTTTAAAAGACCTTGAAAAATTGTGATTATTGGTCATCAGAGGGTCGCCGATGAGGAACGTGGGGCAAAAACGTTTGTTGGGCGGACCAGACAAAAAATTCTGCAGACGTTTTCCAGAACACTATCAGACATCGAAAAAAAAAGCGGATTAAGGTGCAGCAAGAGGGTCGCCCGGTGAAGAGCACAAAAGTGGGGCACAAAAATTGAGGGCGGGTCTGCTCTGAGGTGGGCGGAGTCAGACGAAGAATTTGTAAAACAGCTCAAGAGTACTTCAGACACCGGAGAAAAGTAGAGTACAGAACAAAAGGCGGATATCAGTTGAGTCTAGAAATATGTGAGAGAAGGTACGCGCGGCGCAGCCGGGCCGTATCAGAAGGGAGGCGCCGGGTTATCTATGATGAGAAAGGTCCTGGTGAACTTTGATTAGAGACGAGTTGGTGACTGTGGGAATCCCATATGTGTCTATCGATTCATTTTAATTATGCGGGATAACAGAATCTCAAATTCATTTATTTACGAATCGACGAATCAGCCATTCATTCTTTAAACATACGCGTAATCCCAGAAACATACAATTAATATCCTTCTAAGCCTTTCGATAACACACCCCAAGTTAAGAAAAGAATTGATCTTGAACATATGATATTTCAAATAACACACAAAAATTTCAAGTGGGTAGCATTGTGTTGCTGCTGCGCTACACATAATCATATAACTGCGTTCATACTTTGCGCCAGCACTAGCGTTTCGAGCGTCCGGCAGCGTCAGCGACTGGGAAACTATAGATATCGATCTGGCGTCAGCGTGTAAAAGCGTCTACAAGGCGTTCACCGAGAAGACCAGCGTCTCGAGGGCTTGAGAGGTATAGGTATCCGTCTCCCAGCGTATGCCAGCATTCACCAGCGTCTAACAGCGTCCTGGAAAGGAGAGTATGGGGCGATGGAAGAGTAGCAGACAGCTAGTACTCTCCTATCGCGCCATACAATCTACCAGCAGTCCTACTCTCTCTATACTCACCACAACTCGCTGTCTACTGCTCTCCTACCGGCGCATACACCGACGCTGTTAGTATCGCTGGGTGAAACGGCTGGCATACGCTGGAGGACCCGGTAACCTAACCTCTCAGCCTCGAGACAGCGTGGATGCTGGTAGATACTGCCTAACGCTGGGGAAGACGCCGGTGGCAGCGCTGGGGAGAGGATTGGCAGATGCTGTTCATTATCCTGTAATTTCCCTCAGTCGCTCATCGGATGTCGGACCGCTCGAAACGCAGTGGAACGCTGGTAGCAACGGCTGGTGAAACTGCGCACATAGTATGAACGCAGCTTACGCAGCAATTTCGGGCAACGCGCGGCCGAAAAACACACTACACACCCATAATTTTTTACCACTTTCTCCATGTTTTGACATACAAACGATAGAAGTGTTTTAGAAATGTGGCGAACTGTACTGTAAAGAGGAAAACCGTCAGGTATGAGAGTGGCTCATGCCGTATAGCGTTTGAAAACGTGTACACCGTGGCCGATTTCCAGTACGCTCTCCAGTCGTTCTTCATATAGTAATTCAGCAGAAAAATTGATACTGTATCTGAATATGCACTATTTGAATTCCCTTTATCTGGGATGTTATAGCGACTAGCGCTCGCAGTCACGGCTCGTCATCTCGTGCCCAATGAGACTGTCAGCACTCCCAAGATAGCTTGTCAAATAACACAACGCTATTCCATTTGGAGTAGGTCCTATATTCCTACGTTCAATGAGAATTTGGGCGCTAATCATGAGGAGATTAGCATACACAAGTGATTTCATTATCCATATGAATTGGCTAACGCATATTCGCTCATTTGACCTGATAAAAAATATATTTGCTAAGTTTGAAGGACGAGGGAGCAACCCAACTCTTACCTGTAACTGAGCCCTTGCTCAATCCATTGTACTGATTATTTATCCAAGTATGGCATGCCGATATGTTGGGTGTGATGCATATCCGTTTCTCGTCACTGAATTGAAAGGCATACCTTGTTCAATACACAAGATGGGCTTGCCAATACGGTCCCATACGTGACACGGTAATTTTTCTGTCCTACATGACGCTGATATCAATGCCATTCTCTTCGAGGGAGCAACATTTTTGTAGATTCATGGGCTTTATCGACACGAATGATAAGATACGCTGCAGGAGACACGCCCATTCATATTTGAAGTCAGTTGCCACCAGAGCATGGTCGTCATTGGAGAATTTCCCAACATTTGAGGTCGTAATTTGCTCGGTTGCTGGAGGCTGGGCGCGTTCCATTCTGACGCTTCTGAGAGAGCTTTGCTGACTTCGGGTTTTCCTGTCTCAATAAGTTTATAACAGTACTCCCCCCCCCCCCCGCTCGACAGCTTGAATGAGGAAGGAGAACCAAAAGCGTCTGTACACCCAACGCTAGCTTTAACTCAGTTAGCTTAGCTGAACTTGTGTGCGTTCCCTAGCACTACGTTGAGGCTCCGTTGTTTACATTTGACTGCGCACTTTAGCACCAATATGTTCACTGCGAGACCGTGGTACTGGCGCAAGTGCTGATCCTTATGAAAAGTGGACGGAGATTTAAAAACATGCAGCTGTACCTACACTTCTCGCCTTCTTTCCCGCCGAAACTTCAAAAGTAACAAAAGCGGCCAACACTTAAATTTCGGGAACCTGTTCACGTCATAACTCGCATCGCAGATAAGCTTACGGCGTATTTTCGACTCTCATCCGTGCATGGATACAAGTCACAAATTCAGGCCACCCACCTTGGATGTTGCCGATAGCAGAATGGCAATGAAGAGTCGACGTAGTGAAGTATAACGACAAGAGTGGCAACTTGTAAATACATCAAGGACCAGAAGCATCTAAACTTAGCGCAGATGAATGGAGCTCGAGGGGAGCTACGGCAGATTGCACTGAGGCTTTCCAGATGTTTTTCAGGCACGCACAAGAAGCTGAGTTATACAACAAGTTCGTACCCTAGGCGGAGTACGAACCACGCATCTCACCGCTGCCGGCATAGAAGCCGTTGATACTGAGAGGTAAAAGCAGCCCTGGTTGGCGGTAGAAAGATAGGGCACTATTAACTCACCGAAAAGCGTGATGTGGGGGTTCGACTCCCGCCTGAGGTTCGACTTTTGCCCATAACTCAGCGTTTTTGTGGTGACTTTCGAAGAGCAAACTGCGGGCTGTAGCGCTTACTATCATAATGCAGGACTCCACACTGGCGATCGCGTCATATCGTTCGTATCACTGTATCTGTATGGCTTTTCCGTATCAGCCACTGTGTAGCATACCCTCTTAACAACTGGCGAGACGGTTTTCACGGAGTGGCAACAGTCAATACTGCCTGACACCGCCCCTGTCCACCGCGAATTAAGTGCACATTTCAAAATGTTGACAGGTAAGCCCTTAACAGAGGTGTATCGATTGGCTTCGAGAGTGCCTCCCCCCCCCCCTCTCTCACCCGCCATGGTTGAGGCGATCCAGCCCTAATTGAACCGCGGACGTAATAAACGCACCTCTACTGTCGTGTAAGTACCGCGAGCAGCAAGAATATCACGACAGTATATAACTGTCCTGATATTCTGTGCGCGGCCTAAAGCACTTATAGATGCCTTAGGCGGCGGCACAGAATAATCACGGCAGCGATCACATGTCCCTCATTAAAGTTTTGCAGAATCCTCAAACTGAGTGGCGGTCAGCGGTCTGCTCACTCCATCCTCACAGACTGTCAACTGTGCCAGTGGGTGAGATAACATTCGTTTAGCAAATTTCTTTGAAAACTCACATATTTCGGCAACCTGCATTCGCATTCACATACAAGATGAATGATCATCGCTAATGAGTGTTTTGCGTGAGATTGCGCATAAAACCAAGTGATACTGATACTCATGCTTGACGCATGAACTAATCGTATTGTGGGGAACTACGGTTGATGGGCCGGCAAATAAAAAAGGACTCGGGGGACTTCATAATGGTACTGGTGTACAGATTTTGTTGAGTTTTTCCTTGCGGAAGCCTAGAGTTAACTTGGTTCCTCCTCAGATGCCAAGTGGATGATCAAATGACAGTGAAGCTCCTTCTCAGCGGAGGTGGAGCGGGCGTGGCTTCATACTTCATTTGGAAAGTGACAGCGGTTTCGTATCTAACAGGAGACTTTCTAGATTTCAATCAGGAATTGTCTTACCGTTGAGGAGAATGTGCCGAGATACGACCCCTCACAAATTCCCTCCTTTGATAGACTCCCAGATGATAGAATGAGTGCTTTTACACGATTGATAAAAAAGCAAGCGAAACGCAGAGCGCTCAGGTTTCAAATCCATTGGCGCCCGATCGGTCCTGGAGGCCCATGCCGGCCTCCAGTGACCGTGTCGTTGTGAGACTGCCAGTTGCGCTCTCTCGCCCGTCGTTTTCTGGCCTCTCTCGTCTCTTATCAGTTTATCGCCGCTTTGCATTCCACAATTGATCTTTGACCACACCATTACGCTGTCCGGTGTCATGATCAAGCAATAGAGAGGGTCTTCATCCGCGCATTTTCGTGCTTCCTCCTCCTTCAACAAGTCAACAAACATACGGCAATTCTATTATTGAACTGTATTACCTATGAACTGTGGTCGCAGGAATTGCCTTTGAAAAATCAGTTTCGGACGAGTTTGCCGTAGGCATCTTGCAAGTACCGCTACCGAAGATACGGCTGCATATGTGCACTCATATATCCATGCAGCATCGCGGCCGCTTCATACCAATCCTTCAATACTTGTTGCTAAAATGGTAGCAAATAAAACAAATAGCGAGCGTCAGGAACGGCCGTCCTTTTGCGGGCGGGCGGGCATGATGGGCGTTCGAGTCGATATGTTGTAGATTCTGGCGAACGGAAGCGTCTATCAGCGTCCACCACCGTCTGTCAACGATTATCAGTGTCGCGAGTTGACTAGGGAAAGTATGGATATCCCCGGTCTAGCGTCTACACAGCTGTCCACAACGACCAGCAAGCTTTCTCCAGGGAACCATAGGTACGGTACCGCGTTGCAGTACGGTGCAACCACCAATTTCGCGGATGCCTGATCTCCGTTGTCTCTCCCTTCCACTTCGCGCCATACTCTACACTAAGCAGTCCGGCCAACCCTCGCTAACTTTATCCCCCACGCACTCTCCACCCCTGGTCGCTGGTGAAAGATCATGGACGCTGGTAGACGCTACCTTTCGCTAAGTCTATATCTATACTTCCCTAGTCGTTGATCCTGACAGACGCTCGAAACCATAAAGGCTGCGTTTAATACTTTGGGCGGCACGCGTAGCGTAGCGCTTTACCGCAAAGCGTAACGCCACGGCAGTGCGGGAAAGGATAGATATCGATCAAGCTTCACCAGCGTCCCCACCAGCGTGCCGACGCTGGTGACGCTGGTGAAGCACCGGCCTAGCGGCACGCCAGCGTGCGCTAGCGTGCCGCTAGCGCACGCTGGCGTAGCGAGGGCACGGGAAGCATAGCTATCGATCTAGCTTCACCAGCGTTTCTCGAGCGTTTCTCCAGCGGCACCAGCGTTTTGCTAGCGCTTGCAGCGGCAGGGAGTAGAGACTATGTGGCCGTGAGAGACGCGGAATCGACGTGTATTGTAGAGACTATGTGGCCGGCAGAGACGCGGAATCGATGTGTATAGTAGAGACTATGTGACCGTCAGAGACGCGGAATCGACGTGTATAGTAGAGACTATGGGCCGTCGGAGACGCAGAAGCGATGTGCATTGTAGAGACTAAGGGCGAGTGGGAGACGCGCAATCGATGAGTTTTGTACCCTCCAGCTCTCCCATAGTCTCTACTCCCCTGCCGCTGCAAGCGCTAGCAAAACGCTGGTGAAACGCTGGAGAAACGCTGGCGTACGCTAGCGTGACGCTGGTGACGCTGGTGAAGCTAGATCGATATCTATCCTTTCCCCGGCACTGCCGCTGGCGTACGCTGGAAGCGCTACGCTACGCTGCCGCAAAGTATAAACGCGCAGCCTAATGAGTGATGCTCGGACGCGGTGGGCGCTGGTGGACGGACGCTGCGCGAAAGTGTAAGCGCCTAACGTTTTTGTATCCGACTATAGACGAACAACAATTGAGGACTCTGCTTCTTATTTCGGTGCAAGTGCTGGAACTTTCTTATTCACAACAAACTGACTAGTAAGCGGTGAGAGTAAAAACAGGTGAAAATCGCTTGTTTCTAGTTGACGTCCGCAAGAAAAAATGAATGTGCAGAATTCGATCACCTATCTCGAGGTTTCCAACTTAATTCGGCCATTGTCGACTTTGTTAGGTCCTTCCCAGAACTCGTTGGCAAAAAAAAGAAACTAAGCCATCTGTAGACCGGCGTCGAACTTCTGTGATACGTTGCAAACAGCCGTTTTGGGAAAAATGATCCCCACGGCTAGAACCCCTCCCCCTGCAAGAACGCTCATTTGAGGTTGTCAGTTATGATAAGTCGTCCTAGAAATTGGTAGGTTTTGTGTGGTGAATTGAATTGAATTTTGGCTGTTGGATCAGGGCAGCAGGCATGTCTAATGATTTTGGTCGAGCGTGTACGACCCCACCCCCCCTTTTTGGGGGTTCGGTACGACCCCCCCCCCCTTTTTACTGTTTGACGTTACATACTTCCTGAAATTAGATATAAACAATTAGATATAAAAAATAGATATAAACAGTCCTACCTAAGTTGAGTTGATGTGCAAGCGTTTGTAATCAAAAACAGGATGAGTAGCATAAACACAGCATAAATGCGAGTTAAATGAGACTATGACTAAAACGAAAGAACAAAAAGCGGCATAACAGAAAAAAAAAACAAAAAAGAAATGCGCTAAAAATGCATTAACCCGAGATGTGGAGTACGGTAGCAGAAATGCGTATGTAATTGCAGCCGTGACTGGGAGATTATTACGTAAATTTTTAGGCACTGGAGCGCGAACCTATCGGACTGCGTGGTATGGGGCGAGGGGCTGAGTTTTGGTAACGTGCGCAAACCACTGAGTACTAGTTTACGGAAAAAGGCGTGATACAGTACCCCAGACTGAGCGAAAAGCTGTACGTAAGTGTGGCGAGTGCACAAGACGCTGCTCAGTTTTCGCCTAAGCAGCCCCTGGCCAAGTGGAAGAGGTCAGCGTCACCTTCGCTGGCTCACCACATGCTTGTTTCCCCCCTCCTCCAGGCCCTTGTGCGCCCAAGAATCCATGATGAAACATTCATCAGCCAAGCTGTGCAAAAGGCATGTGAACCTGGGTAATGAACCGGCTTACTGTATGCCCAACTGTGTGCGTTCACAGAACCGACACATTTAGTTCCACGCGAATTTTTCGGAGGTGTTGTATCACGCCTGTTTTCCTCTACTTATAATCTAGTGCGGACCAGCAAGGGCTTCCCAGCTAGTTGTACACCGCAGCACTTCCACATTATCGTTCAGATCTTGGTGCAAAAGCCGCGCCCGTGGCACAGCTGTAATATGCTGTTTTAAGTTAAATGCGTCGCAACCTGAACTTAGGACTGCTCGTACTGGCGACAGGAGAATAGTCACATTCGGCGACTTGACGTTCTAAAAAGGATGTCCTCCCAGAACGTCGAAGTGCGAGCGAATAAGCCGATCGATACCTATCCACTCCTCTGGCGCAAATTCTCTAAGAACGTTGATTTGCCAATACCCTTATCTTCCGAGTTGCAGACCGATACTTATACATTCTTTTGATACGCGCGCTCTAGCACAACTCGAATCGCCGAGTTTCTCATTCTTCTAGACTTCCGTCGCAAAACGACGGAAATGAACGAAGCCTACGATCCCGTAGCTGCGGTTGTTCCTCAGGCAGAAATTGCTGTGAGGGTA